AGAGGCCTTGTAAATCTACAACTGCGAGGAGTCCCTATAGCATTGAGTCCTGGCAGTCCCATTGGTGTTAAACTGCATTCATTGTGCAGTGTAGATGCAGCCTGAATGAAGACCCAGGTTTGTATTTGATGCATAGCTGAACACACAAGCAAAAGTGCACATGCACATCCATGCACACAGAATGTACAAGTAAGTACATCCATGCATGTACACAATGATACCGAATGCCATAATGTCCAACACAAATTTGGCACCAATGTCTGTTCCTGGAAGAGAAGTTACCCTCCAATTAGAAAGGAAGAGGATTCAAGTCAAAATATTGTTTTTGTCGTTCAAATCCATCTTGCCAAAGAAGCCTTCTCCAGTCTGACTACAGCACCCATCGTCTGAAGGGAATTGCTGGTCAAAGATGATGGAATTTGTAGCCCAATTGATTCTCCAACCAGAGCACCAGGCTGGCAAAAGTAAATTGTTTTCTGCTTATTTTATCTTTTTATATTGCATTGTTTACCCCCCTTTCGTTGGTTGCTTTAAGTCTCTCTTAAGAGAAGAAAGTGTGATATAATAATAATTAGAACAATAATAATAGTATCTTGTTGTTGTCAAAACCCTATAAGCTTGCTAAGAGAATAAAGAGAGGTTTGTGGTCACATGCAAGCACATATTTTGATTTTACGGGAGTTATTTTGGCCTATCCCAAAAGCCCTTTCTTGCACGTCTGAATTGGAAGCTATTTAGATTGACTGAAAGAGTAAGTGGTTGATTCGCAGGGTTGTTGTGAAGGTAAAATTCAATCTCATCCAGACCATTGGAAAATGAATTTACTATGTCGTTGTAGGTTTTTCAGGCTATATGGCCATGTTCTAGAAGCATTCTCTCCTGACGTTTCACCTGCATTTATGACAAGCATCCTCAGAGGTTGTGACCTCACAACCTCTGAGGATCCTTGCCATAGATGCAGGCGAAACGTCAGGAGAGAATGCTTCTAGAACACGTCCATATAGCCCAAAAAACCTACAACGACATAGTAAATTCATTTTCCAATGGTCTGGATGTGAGGTCACAACCTCTGGGGATGCTTGTCATAAATGCAGGCGAAACGTCAGGAGAGAATGCTTCTAGAACATGGCCATGTAGCCCGAAAAACCTACAACAACCCAGTGATTCCAGCCATGAAAGCCTTCGACAATACATTGAATTTACTGTGTTGAAGGAGAATAAACTTTGAAATTGAGGATACATTAGAATCATAAAATCCTAGAGTTGAAAGTAACCTGGTGGGCCATCCAGTCCAACCCCTTTCTGCCAAGAAGCAGGAAAATCACATTCAAAGCATCCCTGACAGATGGCCATCCGGCCTCTGCTTAAAAACCCCCAAAGAAGGAACCTCCACCACATCTGGGGCAGAGAGTTCCACTGCTGAACAGCTCTCACAGTTAGGAAGTTCTTCCTCGTGTTCAGGTGGAATCTCCTTCCTTTCCTGTTGTTTGAAGCCATTGTTCCATTGCTTCCTAGTCTCCAGGGTAGCAGAAAACAAGCCTGCTCCCTCCTCCTTAGGACTTCCCCTCACATCCATGGCGCTCATCATGTCTCCTCTCAGCCTTCGGTTCTGCAGGGTAAACATGCCCAGCTCTTTAAGCCGCTCCTCATAGGGCTTGTTCTCCAGCCCCTTGATCCTTTGAGTCGCCCTCTTCTGGACACATTCCAGCTTAGAGTCAACATCTCCCTTCAACTGTGGTGCCCAGAATTGGACACAGTGTGATTCCAGGTGCGGTCTAACCAAGGCAGAATAGCGCATGGGGAGCCTGACTTCCCTGGTTCTAGACTACACTCCTATTTTATGTTGGGGATCCCTTGGCATATTATTTGCAAGAGGAATGGAGACGCAAAAAATTGCTAAGCACCGAACTTGGGGCTTCCTCAAGAGATGTAAAGATCGAAAAGCACTGAACTTGGGTCTTCCTTGGTTCAAAACAAGGCCTGTTCTACTCCTCTGGTGATTTGTGGAGGAAATGCTTTAACAACACCAACAAAGTAATGATTTCTCACCCGTTTCTCTCTTTGGATCGAGGCTGGAAACTTGTTCCCTCCTCCCTATGACTTCCCCTCACCTCTTGATACTTGGCCCTCATCCTGTCTCCTCTCAGACTGGTCTTCTGCAGGCTACACATGCCCTTGAGCGCTCCAGATGGAAGTCAGCTGTGGCCAGCAGTGCTGTAGAATTTGAAGAGGCACGAATGGAGGGCAAACATCATAATTACATAAAACATGTGAATACATTAGCAATGTAAAAATTACAGTTAGCACAAGCACAATGACAATGGGCGGGCTATATGTAATGATTAAAAAAAATGAACTTGTTAAAACTAATTAAAAGCTCGGGTGAGATAAAAGAGAAGCAGGTTATTTGCGGAGGAAAAAGATTGACCTGAAAAGAAATGATCATCTTGGGGCACGGTGGGCAATTGATTTGTTGTTTTATGTACCTTCGAGGCAATTCAGACTTGTGGCAACTCTCAGAGTTTGGTTTCACTGTAGAATTAATGCAGTTTGATACCACTTTAGGTGCCCTGGCTCAATGCAATTGAATCTTGGAAGTGTTACAAAATTACAGAAATCATTTTGTTGTTGTTGTTGTGTCAGGAGCAACGTGAGAAACTGCAAGTTGTTTCTGGTGTGAGAGAATTGGCCGTCTGCAAGGACCTTGCCCAGGGGACGCCCGGATGTTTTTGATGTTTTATCATCCTTTTGGGAGGCTTCTCTCATGTCCCCGCATGAGGAGCTGGAGCTGACAGGAGGAGCTCATCCGCGCTCTCCCCAGATTTGAACCTGCGACCTGCCTCCTCCCTTCCCCTCCTTCATCCTCTTCTTCTTCTCTTTCTCTTTTTTCTCCTCTTCCTTTTTTCATCTTCATTGCCTCCTCTTTCCCCTCTTCCTACTCCATTCGCCTTTTCTTTCTCCCTTCCTTCTCATGCCTTTTCTTTCTTTTCCTCCTCCCCCTTTCTTTCTCCTCTTCCTCCCTTTCTCCTCTTTTTTCTTTTCTCTACTCCACCTCCTTCCTCTTCTTCAGCTTTGCCTTTTCCCTCTCTTCTTGTTTCTCCCTTCCTTCTTGTGCCTTTTCTTTCTTTCCTCTTTTCTTCTCCCTTCCCCTTTTTCCTTTTCATTGCCTCCTCCTCCTCTTCTTTTCTCCCTACCCTCCTCCATCTCTTCTTCCTCGTTTTCTCCTCCTTCCTTCCTTCTCCTCCTCTTACTCCTCTTCCTTTTCTCATCTTCATTGCCTCCTCTTTCCTCTCTCCACCTCTTCTTCCTTCCTTCTCATGTCCTTTCTTTTTTTCTATTCCTCCTTTCACTTTTCCTCTTCCTCTTTTTTACTCCTCTCCCTCCTCTTTCTCTTCTTCAGCTCTTCCCTCTCTTCTTTTCCTCTTTTCCTGCTCATCCCTTTTCTTTCTTTCCTCCTCCTTCTCCTCTTTTTTCTTTCTCCTCTTCCTCTTTTCTTCCCACCTCCCTCTTCTTCCTTTTCATTGCCTCCTCCATTCTCCTCTTCTCCTTCTTCCTCCCTCTACTCCATCCTCCACCACCTCCAAATGGAAGCTTCTTCTCCATTGCCTCCTCCTTCCTCCTCTCCATCCTCCTCCTTCACCTCCACTTAATTCTTCCTTCCTTCTCCTGCCCTTTTGCTCTTTTCCTCCTCCTCTGCCTCTTTTTCTTTCTCCTCTTCCTCTCCCTCCTCTTCCTCTTCTCCATCTTCACCTCTTCCCTCTCTTCTTCTTTCTCCCTTCCTGCTCATCCTTTTTCTTTCTTTCCTCCTTCTTCTCTTTTTTCTTTCTCCTCTTCCTCTTTTCTTCCCACCTCCCTCTTCTTCCTTTTCATTGCCTCCTCCATTCTCCTCCTCTTCTCCTTCTTCCTCCCTCTACTTCATCCTCCACCACCTCCTCTCCCTCTTTTTCATCTCCATTGCCTCCTCCTCCTTCTTCTCCATCCCCCTCCTTCACCTTCACTTAATTCTTCCTGCCTTCTCCTGCCCTTTTGTTCTTTTCCTCCTCCTCTGCCTCTCTTTTTCTTTCTCCTCTTCCTCCTCCTCCTCTTCCTCTTCTCCATCTTCCCCTCTTCCTTCTCTTCTTCTTTCTCCCTTCGTGCTCATCCCTTTTCTTTCTTTCCTCCTTCTCATTTTTCTTTCTCCTCTTTCTCTTTTCTTCCTTACATTCATCTTCTTCCTTTCCTCCTCCTCCCTCCTCTCCCTCTTCCACCTCTTAATCTTTCTCCCTTCCTTCTCACGCCCGTTCCTCCTTTTCTCCTCCTCCTTTCCTTTTCCCTCTTCCTCTTTCCGTCCTCCTCCTTCTTTCTCCAACACCTTCTTCTCCCTCCTCCACCTCTCACCTCTTCCCTCTCTTCTTCTTTCTCCCTTCGTGCTCATCCCTTTTCTTTCTTTCCTCCTTCTCTTTTTTCTTTCTCCTCTTCCCTTTTTCTTCCTATCTTCCTCTTCTTCCTTTTCATTGCCTCCTCCTTCCTCCTCTCCCTCCTCCACCTCTTCTTCTTCCTCCCTTCCTTCTCACGCCCGTTCTTCCTTTTCTTCCTCCCTTTCCTCCAACACCCCCTTCTTCCTCCTCCACCTCCCTCCTCTCTCTCTTCTCCATCTTTACCTCTTCCCTCTCTCCTTCTTTCTCCCTTCCTTCTCTCTTCCCTTCGTGATCCTCACAGCGCGGGGCGGGCTTTGAAGGAGGGACAGGAAGGCCCCCTCCCCTTCCACCCGCCCCTCCCTCCTTCCAGGTGAAGGCAAGCTCCCCTCCCTCCTCCTCCTCTTCCTCCTCCTCCTCCTCCTCCCTCCTGGCGTGGGCATCCTGCGTGGAGAGCGGCTCCTTGAGCGGAGAGAGCGGCGTTGGCTGCGGCGTGGGAAAGCCGGGCTGGGCTCCCAAGAGCGGGACTGCAAAGCCCTGCACCCGGGACAGAGAGGGGGCGGCCTACCTACCTACCTACCTGTGGGCAGGTGCTCCTCGGCCCCGCAGCTCAGTCTCCGGTGGGCTTGGAGCTGGGGCATGCACGGAGGCTGCTCTGCAAAGGAGACCCCTCTCTCCTCTGGGCAGGAGCCCCCCTCCCTTCCCCTCCAGCCTCCCGCTCCTCACAGGTAAGAGCTGCCTCGCCAGGGATGCAAGAAGACTTGCAGCCAAGGAAAGTCCTGCCAGGGACAACTCCCCTGCCTCGCCACAGGAAGACTTGCAGCCAAGGAAAGTCCTGCCAGGGACAACTCCCCGTCCCGCTTTCCTTCCTTCCCTCTTTTCTTCTTTCCTTCTCTCTTTCCTTTTTTCTTTCATTCTTTCTTTTCCTCCTTCCTTCCTCCTTTCCTTCCTTCTTTCATTCTATCTTTCCTTCCTTCCATCCATCTTTATATCCTTCATTCCTTCTTTCTTCCATTCTTTCCTTCCTTCCTCCTTTCCTTCTTTTTTCTTTCTTTCCGTCCTTCTTTCTTTCTTTCCTTCCTTCCTCCTTTCCTTCCTTTTTATTTTGTTCCTCCTTCCTTCCTTCCTTCCTTCTTTCCTTCCTTCCTTCCTTTCTTCCTACCATCCTTCCTGCTTTCTTTCTTTCTTTCCTTCTTTCTTTTGTTCTTTCCTCCCTCCCTCCCTTCCTCCCTCCCTTCCTCCTTTCCTTCCTTCCTTCCTTCCTTCTTTCCTTCCTTCCCCCTTTCTTTTGTTCTTTCCTCCCTCCCTCTTTTTCTTTTTTCCTTCTTTTGTTCTCTCTTTCCTTCTTTCTTTTTTTCTTTCATTCTTTCTTTTCCTCCTTCCTTCCTTCCTTACTTCTTTCTTTCCATTCTTCCCTTCCTTCCACCTTTCTGTCCTACCTTCTTTCCTTCCCCCCTCCCTCCCTCCTTTTCTTTTCTTTCCTTCCTTCCTTCCTTCCTTTTTTCCCTTCCTTCCTTCCTCCCTTCCTTCCTTCCTCCTTCCTTCCTTCCTCTTTTTCCTTCCTTCCTTCTTCCTTCCTTCCTTCCTTTCCTTCCTTCCTTTCCTTCTCCTTTCTTTTCTCTTTCCTTCCTTCCTTCTTTCTTTTCTCTTTCCTTCCTTCTCTCTTTCCTTCTTTGTTCTTTCTTTCTTTCCTCCCTCCCTCCCTCCCCCTCCCTCCCTCCCTCCCTCCCTCCCTTCCTTATCTGGACCACACAGAGGGGAAGGAAAAGGGAGAAATGTGGAGAAGAGGAAAGGGGAGAAGAAGGAGATAAAGTTAACAAGGGGGGAGGTTAGGGAGGAATGAAGAGGAAGGAGGGAAAGAGGAAGAGGAAGGGGAGAAAGAAGGAGGGGAAAGGAGAAAGGAGGAAGAGGATCAGGTGGAAGTTGCCTCTGGGTAGAATACACCAGGACTTTCTCTTCCAAGCCTCCCCTTAGTCACCCCCCCCCCCCCCCAATTCAGTGGTTGAGATAAATAGATAATCCACTCTGGGTTTTAGTCCAAACTGGAAAGACGCTCTCCAAGCCTGTCCAAATCGATGCAGAAAGTGCCTTTAAAGCAGGTATGGGAAAAATTGGGCCCTCCAGGTGTTTTGGACTTCAACTCCCATCATTCCTAACAGCCTACCGGCTGTTAGGAATGATGGGAGTTGAAGTCCAAAACACCTGGGGGGCCCAAGTTTGCTCATGGAGGTAAACAAAGAAATCAGCCCAGTATGAGCTTGGAGGCTTCCAATATGAAACAGCAGAGGTTTGTATTAGTGGTTGAGAAATCAATGCAATGCATGCAGCTTGTTGTCGTTGTTGCCGTGGAGTTGCAAACCATCTGAAGATTAGTAGCTCCGCCAGTGTATTCTCCTTTACGCAACACCGCAGGACAGTTGTAAGGCTTACTAACCTCCTTTTTGGTTTGGAATAGTTGAAATGCTCAGCACATTTCCTTGCCTGGAGGAGGAGGAGGTGCTGCTTTGACTTTGGGTGCGCACAAATAGCATATCTCCAGCAGCCCAACGGCAATGTGTTTTCTATAGACATGAACAGGTGTGTGGTGCATGTTCAGCTTGTGGTGCACTAAGACTCTTAGATCCCCTTCCCATGGATTGTTTCCAAGCTGGGAGAATCCTAGAGTTGGAAGAGATCTCGTGGGGTATCCAGTCCAACCCCATTCTGCCAAGAAGCAGGAAAATTGCATTCAAAGCACCCCCGACAGATGGCCATCCAGCCTCTGTTTAAAAGCTTCCAAAGAAGGAGCATCCACCACACTCTGGGGCAGAGTGTGCTGAACTGCTGAACAGCTCTCACAGTCAGGAAGTTCTTCCTCATGTTCAGGTGGAATTTCTTTTCTTGTAGTTGGAAGCCATTGCTCCACATCCTAGTCTCCAGGGCAGGAGAAAACAAACTTGCCTATAAGTTCTCCTCCCATCTTGATCCCTGGCCCTCATCATGTTTCCTCTTGGCCTTCTCTTCTGCAGGCTAAATGTGCCTAGCTCTTTAAGCCGCTCCTCATAGGGCTTGTTCTCCAGACCCTTGAATGGGGGACGCGTGCCTCGAGAGAAGTATGTGTGAAAAAGATCTTGGTGTCCTTGTGGACAACAAGTTAAACATGAGCCAACAATGTGATGCAGCAGGGGGAAAAGGGCAATGGGATTTTGGCCTGCATCAATAGGAGTCTAGTGTCAAGATCCAGGGAAGTCAAGAGCAAACCACTGACCACCTGCTGCAATGCACCCTGAGCCCTGCCACATGCACAATGGAGGACCTTCTTGTGGCAACACCAGAAGCACTCCAAGTGGCCAGATACTGGTCAAAGGACATTTAATCAACTACCAAGCTTGCAAACTGTGTGTTTTGTCTGTCTGTCTGTTTTGTTAAAAATGTCATACAACTGTCTGCTTGCTCCTGACACGATAAATAAATATGCTACCCATGCTCTATTCTGCCTTGGTTAGACCACACCTGGAATATTGTGTCCAATTCTGGGCACCACAATTGAAGAGAGATATTGACAAGTTGGAATGTGTCCAGAGGAGGGCGACTAAAATGATCATGGGTCTGGAGAAATAGCCCTATGAAGAGCGGCTAAAAGAGCTGGGCATGTTTAGCCTGAAGAAGAGAAGGCTGAGAGGAGACATGATAGCCATGTATAAATATGTGAGAGGAAGTCATGGGGAGGAGGGAGTGAACTTGTTTTCTGTGGCCTTTGAGACTAGGATGCAGAACAATGGCTTCAAACTACAAGAAAGGAGATTCCATCTGAACACGAGGAAGAACTTCCTGACTGTGAAAGCCGTTCAGCAGTGGAACTCTCTGCCCCAGAGTGTGGTGGAGGCTCCATTTTTGGAGGAGGCTGGATGGCCATCCATCAGTGCCTTGAGGCCGTTACTGGATGGCTGCATGCCAGCAGGTTGAGGGTGAATCCAGCAAAGTCGGAGATCCTATGGCTTGGTCGACTGGGCAGTGGGGATATCCAGCTGCCTACCCTGGATGGCGAGGCGCTATGCCTGTCATCATTGGTAAAGAGTCCGGGAGTCCTTTTGGACCCTCTGCTGACGATGGAGGCCCAGGTCTCCGGCGTTAGCAGAACCGCCTTCTTTCACCTGCGGCAGGCTAGACGGCTGGCCTCTCCCTGTCCAGGGACGACCTAGCTACGGTGATCCAGGCCAAGGTCATCTCAAGACTAGACTACTGTAACGCCCTCTACATTGGCCTTCCTCTGTCGGTGATCCGGAAGCTCAAGTTGGTACAAAATGCAGCTGCTCGGCTTCTTGCGGGAATTCCGATGAGATGCCACATAACACCAATCTGACTACAGCTGCATTGGTTACCAATTGAGCACCGGATCACTTTCAAAGTGATGGCACTCACCTTTAAGGCCTTGCATGGTCTGGGGCTGATGTACCTGAGGGACCGCCTCTCCCCCTACCAACCCCAGAGATTTCTCCATTCTGAGGACCAAGATCTATTGGAAGTCCCCAGTTTTAAAACCTTGTGTCTAACAGCAACTAGACGCAGAGCCTTCACAGCAGTGGCACCATCGCTATGGAACACTCTGCCACCAGAAGTCCGTGCCTTGCAGGACTTATCAGCTTTCCGCAGGGCATGTAAGACATATCTGTTTCAACAGGCCTTTCATCTTTGATATTACTGTTTTTAAATTGTTTTAAATTGTTTTTAAATTGTGTTAGATTTTAGCCTGTTCTTGTAAGCCACTCCGAGCCCCAGGGGAGTGGCGGCATATAAGTTCGAATAATAAATAAATAAATACATAAATAGAAACTTGGGGTTCCAGGCTCAGCGATAAATCCAGGATCACACCTAAGCTGCGAACATGCATCTTCAGGGGGAGTGTAACCCCATCCAACCCCAACCATTAGCTTTGAAGTTCCTACATGACATTGTTGGCTCATGTTCCCCTTCTTCCACACGAGAACTCCAAGATCCTTTTCATACGTACTGCTGTTGAGCCAGGCACACCCCCCCCCCCAATTCTCTTGTATTGATCCTGTTATGGAACAATGTGAAATGTTTTGCAATTGGACTGAAAGAGAAAAGGCATGCAAAGTGCACAGCTTTCAATGCTCTTCTATATGTCAGGTTTTTCATGGGTTTCCATCCCATTGTAAGTCCGACGCTTATAATTGGCTTTTCAACATGACAAACAGGGCCGTGATTTCTTCCTTTCTCCCATCAGCTCTTTAAACAGCTCAGCAAGCGGCTGATCGATGCACCAGAGAGACCGTTTGGGCTTGATTTAAAGTTGGCAAAAAGGTCCATCCTTTATGGCACTTTTGCGATTATGAGAGTAGAACTAGATTAGAACAATCCTCAAATGTGGGAGTTGGAAGGGGCCCCAAAGGTCATCTAGTCCATCCTCCTTCTGCCAGGCAGGAAAAGCACAATCAAAGCACCCCCAACAGATGGCCATCCAGCCTATGCTACATCTGCATCGTTCCCTTCATCTACCAAGCTCATAACTAACTAAAAAGGAGATGGGTTGTTGTAGGTTTTTTCGGGCTATATGGCCATGTTCTAGAGGCATTCTCTCCTGACGTTTCTCCTGCATCTATGGCAAGCATCCTCAGAGGTAGTGAGGTCTGTTGGAACTAGGAAAAGGGGTTTATATATCTGTGGAATGACCAGGGTGGGACAAAGAATTCTTGTCTGCTGGAGCTAGATGTGAATGTTTCAACTG